TGGGCCGAATACAAAGTATATAAGAATGAATAAGTGTGAAATCTTGTTCTGCGAGCTCTCCGTGGCCGACGAAGGCATGGCCGACGGAGACCCGGCCGATGGGGACACCCGGTTCTCCTGGCTTCTGGACCCTATTCTGAGTAGATATATTTCTGGCCGATGGAGGTCATATGGTCGACGAGGGTCCCACTAGGCTACAACTGTACCTCTTATTCTTCTGAGTATGTGGGTCCTGGGGTCTAGACCCATATACTCCATCAGTTAGTGTTTGGCATGCCGAGTCGGAGCACACCTTACCCTAAACCAGTACAAAGAATCTTTTGAATAAATTAAAATGGTACGGTACTTGTGCGATCCACGGGATATAACTTTTCTCATATTTTATGTACATTAGGTTTTAAAGAAGTGCTCATATTTATGTTATTTAAAGGAAGGTGAAATATGTATATGTTATATATACTTTTTTTTGAAAGGATACTTTAATTGGCTGTTAAAGCCTTAAATGGATGTTTTTCTCATGTATAACAATCTCAAATATTTAAAAATTAAAATATATTTACAACTTTAATTGGCTCTAAAATATATTTAGAACTTTGTATCCTCATTGTTTCTGTTTCTGGGTTCAAAATGTTTAAGGGGGTGTTTGGTAATTGGCTGTTGGCTGTTGCTGATTGTTTTAGCTGATTGAAGACAGCAGATTCTGTTGGTTGTTTTGATTAGCTGATAGAATTAGCTGTTTGTAAAATAGTGTTTGGTTAAATGAGTGTTTACAATCAGCGGATAACTTGTTAAATGACTTTTAAGGACATCGATTATATATTTTCTTATTAATATAATTAGTATAACTAATTAAACCATTTTAATCCTTTCAAAAATAAAAAAATACTCTAACACAAATAGTAATTATTTTCAACATCGTTTTTCACGAATTGATAGATTTAATTAGTGTGATGATATTTTGATTAATAAATGGAGTTATTATTAAAATCATATCAAGAAACTAAAGCTATTAAGCATATGTATACATGCGTTAAGTAAAGAAATATGTATGAATGAAGTAGGATGAATTGAATCAAATGTCTGCTCGCCGTTGTATTTCATTTCATTATTCCAAAAAAAATGCTTTGTATAAATTAGGAACTACCGGTAATAGAAAGAAGCACTACGAGTGGGGGCAATTTTAAATTCTAACGATTTTCTCTAACGAGTAGGAGGCTCGTACGAAAAAGAAACGGGGGTAGCGCAGGAATAATCATAACGGCCGATCCTAAACGCTAGAGTGATTGGCGTTTCATATTTTAGCTACTGGAAATAAAAAGCCAAACGTAAAAGTCATTTAACCAAACACCCTAATTAGCTGATTGATTGGTCAAAAGGCTAAATGTTGATCAAATCAACCAAAAAGTGACTGATAGGCTCCTAACCAAACACCCCCTAAACCGCACTATATTTAGAGGTCCAACAATTGAACGTAACATACTCCAACAATTCAATCTGAATGCTATATGAAAAGCAGGCATATTACTTCTTATGGGTAAGACTATATAAACTATAGGATTTCGTAATTAATTTATAAATTTGCTTAAATTGAATAGAAGTTACTCTTATTAGTAAAGGTTTACGCATATATTACCCATAAGAAGCATATACACAAATTAAAACCGATTTAAAATTTATGAATTTCTAAATTTCACAATGTTTCATGTGTTTTCATTATATTTCGAGAATTCCTTCAAATTAAAGTTCTCCACAATAAAAACTACGGAGTAGTACATTCCCAAAGATTGGATTTCTATAGATTTTTATATATATCTAACCTAAAACAAATTTTATACTGACTATACTTTTATCAAAATCCAGCTGTTTATTTTAGAATTCTCATGGATTATTTGAATTTTTATTATTATTATTCACTCTATATAAATCTCAAACTCCAAATTCTACGTTGTGACAGACCACAAAAACCATTGTAGATAATGGAACAATTTTCATTTGTGAAAAAGTTCGCCTCCATAAACTTTTTATGCTTTCTCTGATCGATTATATTAGTTTTTGTTACAAAATAAATCATTTAAATGTCCATTGGTGTGCATTTGACTTCTTATATACATAATTAAACACTTGAACTGCATAGAGCTAATTTTAAATTATGAGGAAAATAAGGTGATCTGGATTAGAGATATTCTAAATTGAATTAAAAGGGGTTCTGTTTAAGTTTATAAACAAAAGGTAATATGCTTCATAGAATATAAGTTACTCTTATTGATAATGCAATTGGTCACTTATTAATTAATGAGAAATTAAAAGCATGACTAAAATAAGAATAATAACATAAAATGAAGTCCTAACATGCAGTGTTCATGAAAATATTTTAAAATGATTATTGTAAACATGATGGGTATGTTTGCTACAATTAATTGAAATGATATTTGACGAGTTTTTTAGTAATGGTTAACTTTTGGTGACTTAAAAGATTTAAAACAAAAATGTTGTAGTTGTTTGAGAAAAATCGACTATTTGATTTAGTTGTGTTTGGTATAACAAGCTTCTTGCTATTAAAAACTATCATGAGAAACATATAAGTATATAACAAGAAGCTGTTATAAATATATTTTAAAAATTAGAAGGTAGAGAATTATGTCTATTAAACATGTACAAAAAATAATCAATTTAACTATAATGTTGTCTTCATAATGACTAATTTTAGGGAGTATTTAGTTCTATCAAAGAAATCCATTATCATAGATGCATATAATATGTTATTGAACAAATTTTCAGGACGGATTTTTTTTATTGATCTTTAATTTTTATAAATGTCAACAATATAAGTTTGCGAGAAAAATATAAAATCGGTGGTATCATGAGAAATCTATCTAAAAATCAATTCTGAAATGCATTATATATTTATTCAAGTATTCATTTTATTTTACTAAACCTCAAAACAAAATGGATTTTTCATATCAAGTTAATAAAATAGAAATCGCTTTTAATAGAATTAAAACTTAGACAAAATGCACAAATAGAACTACATGTATTTTATTTTCAAAATAGGACTTATTTGATTCTAGTAAAAGTATAAAACCTCTCCTATTAGGAGTAATTAAGTCTTATTTTAAGAAGAAAATAATGATATTCCTATATGTGCAATTTGTTTATGTTTTACTCCTATATAAGGAATTTTCTGATTAATAATTTTATTCATCAAGTTTCTTTTTTATAATAAATAAATTAAGTTTCTCTTTTGAGCAGTGGTTTGACTGCTTTCTTAATTACTCCCCGTCTCATTTATTTAAGGTTTCTATTTATTTGCCCATTTTGGGAGGTTCCATAACTTTCTCATTAATTTTTAAATAAAATAAAAACACTCACAGTAATAATTAAGACAAGTATGAATCAATTAGTCTATCCGATTATATTCTCACCCTCCCAATTATTTATTTTAACTACTCCAATTCCATTTAATTTTCTTAAACGTACTACTAGCTGTACTTAACTAACTGCTTATGAAAGTGTACCTTTTTGTTAAAGTCTCACACCGGGTATATCTCTCAAAGAATTAAACACTATATTAAGATCTGAGCTACTTCTCCTATTAGGTTCACCTTTTAGGATGGAACCCCAGATCTTAACATGGTATCAGAGCCAAATCGATCCATGGTGTGGAGACCCCTTATAAAAAATGTTGACACAATTATAAAAAATGACAATGACGAGATGATGAAGAAAATGAATGAAGGCACGATCCAGACGAAGTGTCTGGTCGTAAGGAGGGGTGTTAAAGTCACACACCAGAAAAGTTTGAATTAACAAAGTGCTATATTAAGGCATAATTACTCCTCCAATCAGATTGACCTTTTAGGATGGAATCCCAAGTCTTAACAATTAAAGTTCTAGTCTTGGGTAAGGGGAGTGGGAGACCGGTGCATCAAAAACTAGAGTTGTAATTGAATCAACAAATATAAACATAAATATTTATATTCACGTTTAAAAAAATGACAATGATGAATCGATGAAAAAACGAATGACGACACGATCCAGACGAAGTATCTGGTCGTGAGAAGGGTGTTAAAGTCCCACACCGGATATCTCTGAAAGAATTAAACACTATATTAAGATCTGAACTACTCCTCTTATTAGGTTGACCTTTTAGGATGGAACCCTGAATCTTAACACTTTTGCCAAGACCTATGGAACTCAGATGTGGGGTTGAACTGTTGAAGGAAAACAAATTTGTAGTTTTTCACAGGTTTGGGCTAAACTCTTGGAAAACCGTATGAAATAGTTAATCATACCATACGCCAGATATATACATTTTCTGCGCGTAAAAATAACAAATAAGCAGTTAAACATTTTGGTGCCTCTAGCCATCACATAAATTAGATAAGGTTCATATGATAAGTTACTTAGGAGTTTGTCATTTAATCATATTAACTAATTATTATAGTATAGGTTTGATGCATAGGTTTAAGAAAGTATATTAAAATAATCTGATTTTATCGAAATACACGGCTCCCAATTTTATTCTTGTATCCTTAATGAATTTGGCTAGCTAAATCTCCCCGAGAGTAATGCTTTAAGCATCAATAAGCTTTGAAAAAATAACTTATAAAAAAGATATTTTACTCGATCTTGTTTGAATTTGAGACACAATAATTCTATCTAAATAGATCAGATTCGATTTAAATCGATAGATTAGACCGGACTTAGATAATACATAATAGATACATATGTGACATTTATCAAACAATACTAGACCAAACTTAACTAAGCGGACCAGATCGATTAGATCAAATTTGACAATCCTGGATAATTAATTCTCTCCAAATAAAAACATCATTAGAAGTAAACTCATATGTCAAGGAATGTTTGATAAAGCATTTAAACCCTAAGACTTAAGTTAAATTAAGATTGCATCTTGCATGCAATAATATTAATTTTTTATAGAGTAAACTACACTTAATTAATGCTTCATAATTGAATTAGTTAATTATTATCTATACCTTAGGTGGAAGTTGAGGAAGCAAAGAATGGAGGGTGTCAAACATAGTCCTCATCTTCTTCCTTCTTTCTCTTTCGGTCCATACGTGTACTTCATGATCCGATTCCACCACCACTCCACTTGCACTCCTCTCTTTCTCCGTCGGCGACCTCTTTGTCCCGGCAGCGGACGGCGGAGGCATGCTCTTTGAGCCACCACAACCGGTTAGCGTCATCAGATCACCGGATTTTTCTTCCGACCCACCGGAATGGGAGAGCGTCCATGCTTGAGCGCCGCCGCCGTCATCCATAACCGCGTACTCCTCCGCTGTATGTAAATGAATTTATATGGTGTAGGCATAGATATATATAGGCGGGGGAGTTTTTGGTCCTTAGCTTAAAAAGGAAAAAGTAATAAAGGAAAAGGTGGCGGAAGGATTATGAGTTGTTAAGAATAGTATTTGGCAAACCAAAATGAAATGATTAGGGTCGGCCGTTACTCCATCTGGAACCAAATAACGGTAGCTTTAGAAGAATGTGGGGTCCACATCTAATAACACAAATCGTTTTTGTGATTTTCTGTTTTGTCGACTCATTTTTTGTAGCTCGTTTTAATTTTTAATCGATCCATTATGAAATGAAATGCTGAGAAGTGAGTTACTTAATTTTATACACCTTTCTCATTACAACATTTCACCTAACATGTTTTATTTTAAATGTTTTTACTTAGCAAGAGATTTTAAATTCTCTATTGGCGTATTTATAATGATCTCATGTCAATTTTAGATAAATGATGACCTGTACATCAGTACATATATATTGATTTGTATGAAATATGTGTTATGAAATGGGATAAAAAAGAAAAAGCTATACATGAAAATTTTAAATGCTTCGATACATTTGACGCTTTATTTTTTCGAATTCGAATATTGGAATAAGATTCTAATATGACAAACAAAACAAATACAAATACGGAGTATATAATAAGAAATGATTATTCAACGAATATATGAATACACATATTCGTTAATTTATATGAATACAAATTATTAGAATGTTTATATTTGTTGATTCAATTACAACTCTAGTTTTTGATGCACCGGTCTCCCACTCCCTTTACCCAAGACCAGAACTTTAATTGTTAAGATTTGAGGTTTCATCCTAAAAGGTCAATCTGATAGGAGGAGTAACTCATGTCTTAATATAGCACTTTGTTAATTCAAACTTCTCTGGTGTGGAACTTTAACACCCCTCCTCACGATCAGACACTTCGTCTGGATCGTGTCGTCATTCATTTTTTTCATCAGTTCGTCATTGTCATTTTTTTATAATCGTGTCATCATTTTTCATAAGGGGTCTTCACACCATGGATCGATTTGGCTCTGATACCATGTTAAGATTTGGGGTTCCATCCTAAAAGGTCAACCTGATAGGAGGAGTAATCTATGTCTTAATATAGCACTTTGTTGATTCAAACTTTTCCGGTGTGAGACTTTAGTATTAATTTCAAAGTGTTCCAAATTGGACTGTGTAATTTTATACTTTGTAATTATTTAAATATACCAAATAAAAGGAGAATTTGTGTTAGATTAAACTCTGGAGGAATCAAAATTGTACCTAGATTGGGTCAGTCCGTATACCGTGCAACCGGTGCATGGTGAGCACCGTACTCCCAGAGGTAAAATTCGCGTGAACAGTACCCTTGCATTTGTCTTAATTCTTTTCGTGATATAAATCCTTTCTTTTGGTATGTAACTCGCACTACTTTTAAATGTAAATACAGTGTATTCAAATGTAACTCATTGTGGTGTAACTTGCATTTTGAAAAATGTAAACAATAAAAAAAAGAGTCTAAATCTATAATTACTTTACTTAAATCGTGAATATGGTTTTTTTATATCATGACCATCAAAAGGATTTTAAAAAAGATATTTTTTTTGTTTGTTTCAATAGTAGGGGTTTATTTTTGTGATGTAACTCGTGTGTAGGGATATGTAACTCGCGTTATTGATCAATGTAACTCAAGCCCATTCAAAATGTAACTTGTCAAATATCGATTTCAATGTAAACAATGAAAAAAAGAGTCTAATTGCACAATTGCTTTAGGTAAAACGTGAATATGTTTTGTTTTTAATATCATGGCCATAAAAAATAATTTTTTAGGAAAGATCATTTGTTTTGTTTCAATAGCAGGGGTTGATTTTTTAATGTAACTCGTGTTATTACAAATGTAACTCGCGTTGATGACAAATGTAACTTGAGTGTACACAGAATGTAACTTGTTGGGAAATTGAACAATGTTTTTTTTTGTGTTTGAGATATATTTAAATGTAAACAATGAAAAATTGACCCTAATAGCTTAATTACTTTTTTATAAATATTGAATATGTTTTATCTTTAATATTAGGGCAATAAAAATGATATAGCTGGAGTTTATTCCGTGGTGTAATTCGCATATATTAAGATGTAACTCGCGTATATTAAGATGTAACTCGCCTACATTGAGATATAACTTGTGCAGAAGAAATGCAATTTCATGATATATTATCAAATGTAACTTCAAGAATCAAAATAAACAAACTCAATGTCTTAAAAATCTCTAAAAATTATAAATTCGGTAGTAATTTCAATTGAAGAAAAAAAGTAAAAAAGTAGTGTATGATTATTTATTTTTTGGCAAAAGAAAAATTTGTAAAGAAAAAAGTTTTTTCAATTACAATTTAATTAGTTAAAGATTAATATAAGAAAAATCGAAATTAATTATTTATATTTAGATGGAGAGAAGAAAATAATTGAAGAAAACAAAAAAGAAAATATAAAGAGATAGTGCTCCAAAAAGGATTTGGAGATTTGAGTCTTGAAGGAAAAGAAAAAAAAAGAGTGTTCTAGAGAAAAACAGAGCAAAAATGATGTCGTATTTCAACCGGAATACCATGCGCATGATATGCCGATCAAATAATACCAATTAAACATGTTTGAGTTAGTTGGGTACGTACATTATTTAGCTGTTTCTTTTCCAATCAGTATCACAGCAAAATCCTAGTTCAGCTTTATTTGCTTTAAAGTATGAAGATAATCCATTATTAGGATAATCTAATTAATGAATTTGAGAGGGCATGTTTCAATTGTGAAGTTAGGACCAACATTATAAAAATTTACAACTGTTCCAAATTTATATCTTCAAGTAAAATTAAAGTTAACGAATTTCAAATGTGAATCATATTGAAAATAATTCATACTGACGTTATTATTTTATCGGTTTAAATATGGTTTTAGTCCCTGCAAATATGTCACGCTTTGTTTTAGGTCTCTGCAAAATATTTTCTTTGTTTTTCATCCTTGTAATATGCGTTATTTTGGGTTTAGTCCATCTGATCTCTAACTCTGAAACAACTCTACTTAGAATTTTTTTATTGTCGATTGCATAACTCAACTGGAAACATTTAAATTTATCAGTTTAGATTTTCTTGAGGCTAATAAGAAAGTTAAAACAATATTAAAACTATTTATTCGCATTTTTTAAAATATGTATTAAAAACCTTTTAAAAAATAAAATTTAATATTTTTTAATTGTTTTGTTGTCAAGCGGGGTTGTTATCATTAGTCATGGACTAAAAATAAAACCAACATAAATTTCAAGGATGAAAAATAAAGAAAATATTTTGCATGAACCTAAAACAAAGTGTGCTATATTTACGAGGATTAAAAGCATATTTAAACCTTATTTTATCACATCCGGTACGTCAAAGTAACATAATTGATTCTGTGATTTTTAGAACAAATGCAAAGGAAGAGGGAGCATCTTATATTCACTTAATCATTGATGATATTAGAAGAATTGTGGAAACAAAGAGTAATTTTGATATCTCTTTATGTAAAAGGTCTGCGAATTGGGTGACTCATGCTCTGGCTAGGTCACTCGTGAACATCTCAGGTCATAGAGCTGATTATGATTGTATTCCGATTTGTATTAGCAGTCATATGGCTAACGATTTATTGAATTAATAGAAGATTCAGTTTGATGATAAAAAAAACAACTATTAACGATCTTAGCATGTTTTCTTTTGGACTGAAATTTGCTGGTCTACTCTGGTTTTATCTAGTCTGTTTAGCTCTGATTTGATCTGGTCTGAAGTGGCCTGGCCTGGTCTGATAAATGTATGATCTATGTGTATTTTATAATTGTTCAAGACTAGTCTGGTCTGATTTGATTTGTTTAAGTTCGATCTGATTTAGTCTGGTCTAATTTAGTTTGGGACCGAAAACTATCCAAAAATAAAACATTCTTACTTCACTCAAACCATTCTATGGTACTTTTTAAATGGATTTCGAAGCATCAATATTTATAATGCTTTCTGGTTAAATTTGTTTTAGTCTCCACAACTCCATGTGGAAAACATTTCCAAAAACTAAAAATTAGCATTTGTATTAACCATGAAAGAAATTTGTATGAAAAACATGAAAAACCAAACATCCTGTGTTGGCGTTTTTTTTTTCAAAGATGCCTAGAAAGATTGGTATTCTTCCCCGTTCTCGATTCCTTGTTATTCAAAGTAGGGGAAAACTCCTCAAATAGTATCAAAATATTTTGTTTAATTTAATATACTCAGATTCTATTAGTGGGATATGATGTTTAAAATTTTATGCATAGAACTTTTTATTTGTGATTGGACGAAAATATCCTTATAGGGTTTGGATCATTGTTGCCGCGACACCGCCGGACCGCTAGGGAATTAGAGGACAATTAATTATATTAACTAATTATATTAAGGGTAGATATGTAATGTCTATATATATATATATATATATATATATATATATATATATATATATATATATATATATATATATATATATATATATATATATATATTTAAGAGAAATAAAAACATGGAGTCTTATTTAATTGATAGAGTATATGAGCCGGGATCAAACGACTCACACACTCGTAGAAGAAAAACATCACAAGACACTGGCGTATCCCTCGGCTGGTTCTCCCATCCAGACAAGAGCTAAAGATCAGAGTAATGGAACAAGAATTGGCACCCTAGGCCTGACCACCTCACCCAGGACTTTTGGCAGGCAGTTCCTACTTTATACGTTGCACGATAGATTCATGTAATTAGCTGATTAGTGGCCCACTATTGTAATCGGGTCTCCCCAGGCCTGGAAGCTCAATCCATATTTCCTCTACAAATACTCTCATCGGGGATAGTTGTAGAGTGTTGAAACATTGAATGCAAAGAACTTTCTCTATCTTGCTTTCATTTCGCTCTAGATCTAGAGTTCCTCATTAGAAATTTT